GAGTTTGACTACTTGCTATGATATGCGCTGACCACCAGGGGGTGGCGCAGAACATGGCAGGTATTGACGATGCGGTGCTGGCAACAGGCGGCAGTGGGAGGGTGGAGCAGGTGAGCGGACAGCACCAGGCCAAGGCGGGTACAAGCAGGGGTCCAATTGCCCTGCAGATGGCGACCAGTGGCAGTGGCAGGGGATGGGGGGGCCTGGCCCCAACAGATTGCCCTGCAGACAATGAGCAGTGGCCAGCCCCAGACTTGACTGGGACCTGGGAGTGGGTGGCAGTTACTAGCCTCCCACAGCACCTGGGCTGGGGGCTGCTACCTCTTGCTGGCGACCTGGGAGTAGGGGTGATGGGGACGGAGGTGCGGTGAGAATGTGGGGTGCCCACCGAACTCTCTCTCACTCCCCTTGCTACCTCCCCTGGGACACCATGGTTCGTGCGCTGGGGAAGCCCCTGTGCTCAGGTGCTGGGCGCCCCCAAGGAGCCTGCCTGCACCTGTGAGGCCTTTTCTGGGTGAGCCAGGTTTGCACAGGAGCCAGTCTGCGAGGCTGGCCAGTAGAGAGTGCACTGCCCGCCTGGCTTCTTTGTGACACCAGTGAGTGGCCCAGAGGCCCACACTGCAACCCGACCCTCGGCGTCCGGCCGCACTCACCTCATCTCCACATGGGAACTTGGGTGCTGTGACTCAGGCAGAAGGAGGGCGCGTGGGGGGGAGGGGGTGTCTTAGAACCCTGGTGTTACCCAGGGCCCAGAGGTCAGCTGGGACCTGCCCTTTCATGCCAGATTCTCGTGCTTCAATTGCTGGCCAGGTCTAGGGACTACAGCTGTGCACGAATTTTGTGCACTGGGCCTCTAGTCTTAGGTAATAAAAGCCTAATATGCTAAGTGTTCAGTCAATCGATTGGTCATTTAGTCATTCAATGAGTAATGTGCTAATGATATGCTAAGGCTGCTCAACTGCTCACTGTGACATGCACTGACCATCAGGGGGCAGACAATCAACTGGTCGACCAGTCAATATGACATGCACTGACCACCAGGGGGCAGACGCTCTACTGGTAGGTTAGCTTGCTACTGGGGTCCAGCTGATAGGGACTGAGCGAGGGCCCAGACACACACTGGAGCCCTCCCCAGGTCCTATCCAGCTGGCCAACCTCCCATGTCTCTGCCCGATGGTGCACCAGTGGGGTCCCTTAGCCTGGCCTATGCCCTCTGGTAATCTGGGACCCCTTGAGGGATGTCAGAGAGCCAGTTCAGCTGAATCCCACAGGGGGAGTGCCGCTCAGCCAGAAGCCGCGTTCATGGCTGACAAGCATAGTGGCGGTGGCAGGAGCCTCTCCCGCCTGTTCCACCTCCATGTCAGCGCTAAAGATGTCTGACTGATGGCTTAGGCCTACTCTAGGACATCCTCCAAGGGATCCCAGGACGGCGAGAGAGGGAATTACACCCCTTGAACACCGCGGCGCCCCCCCCCCCCCCCCCCCCGCCCCGAAGTGCAGGAATTTTGTGCACCGGGCCTCTAATAATTACATAATTTCATATACTATCTGTCCCCTACTTAAACTTCCCCATTTGTCTTAAATATTTCCTCGCTTTTTTTCTCCAGACCATTCATTCAGGGTTTACTCATTGTATCTGACTTTTTGAAGAGTATGGCCCATGGGTCTTGTGGAAACTTAGGTCTGGGCGGGAGGGCGGGCGGTTTGCTTGCCTGCGTGGTGAGGCAGCATTTGTAATCAGTTACTCTGGTGATCCTGTGGTGCTGTGCAGTGTTGCTCTCCATCATCCTAGTGGTATTGGCATCTGTTGGGTCTCTGAATACAGGACAGTCTTTTTTATGGTCTGAAGTTAAACTCCATTTGACAACATTTCTGTAATGCTTGAAAACATGTGATAATTCCTACTATCCTGGAAATAATCAGATTTTGCTGTCAGCATATAAAAGTTCAGTTTTTCCATTTAGTTTGTCATATACCGTATTTTTCGGACCATAAGACGCACTTTTTTCCCCCAGAAGTGGGGGGAAAAAGTCCCTGCGTCTTATGGTCCAAATGGAGCCTACACGTATACTTTTAAAAAAAAGGTTTTTTTACTTGCCCGGCTCTGTGTGGTCTCTGTGTGCTTGCCCGGCTCTAAAATGGTTCTAAATGCTGCTGTTTACTTTACAGGGTTGATTACATGTGTTTATGACTGTGATGTTGGGTTTTAATGCACATAAAATATTTTAGGACACTATTTGTTTCAGAATCTTTTTTTCTTCATTTCCCTTCTCTAAAAACTGGTGCGTCTTATGGTCCGAAAAATACGGTATATTTTTTAAATATTTTATTGATTTATTACAGAGAGGAAGGGAGAGGAATAGAGTTAGAAACATCGATGAGAGAAACATCGATCAGCTGCCTCCTGCACACCTTCTACTGGGGATGTGCCTGCAATCATTGTACATGCCCTTGACTGGAATCGAACCTGGGCCCCTTTAGTCCAGAGGCCAACGCTCTATCCACTGAGCCAAACCCGTTAGGGCTAGTTTGTATTCATTCATTCATTCATTCATTCATTCATGGGTTACTTTAGACAGAATATGTATGCTTTATTAATCACAGTAATGGGCTTTTTAAAAAAAAAAAAAAAAAAATATATATATATATATATATATATATATATATATATATATATATATATATATATTTTACTGATTTTTTTACAGAGAGGAAGGGAAAGGGATAGAGAGTTAGAAACATCAATGAGAGATACATTGATTGGCTGCCTCCTGCACACCCCCTACTGGGGATGTGCCTGCAACCAAGGTACATGCCCTTGACCAGAATCGAACCTGGGACCTTTCAGTCCACAGGCTGATGCTCTATCCACTGAGCCAAACTGGTTTCGGCGTAGTTTGTCTTATTTTTAACCACTTAATAGAATAACATAGGCAAAAGTTTTTTTTTTGTTTTTTTTTAATATGTAAGTTTTGCCTTTTCTAGTCAAAAGAGTGAGAAAGCTCTGAATGAATTTTCAAAGTCTTTATGGCAACTTGATGCAAAACGAAGCCACTGTTTCGTTAGTTAATGCTTTTCATTGTTTTCCTTTGGCTCACTATATTTCTTTCTACTCTTAACAGAAGTTAGGATAATATTAGACATTTGGAATATTAATTGTAATGGGAAAATAGAGCAGGACTTCCTTCTGAAATTTTGCATTCTTATGTTATTCAAAAAGCTCCTTGTGGCCCAGCCAGTATGGCTTAGTGGTTGAGTGTCGACTCATGCACCAAGAGGTCACTGGTTCGATTCCCTGTTAGGGCACATGCCTGGGTTGTGGGCTTGATTCCCGGTGGGGAGCATGCAGGAGACAGCTGATGGATGATGTTTCTCTCCCCCTTCCTCTCTCTCTAAAATTAATAATAATTAATAAAAATAATTTTTTTTTTAAAGCACTTTGTGTCCTTCCCCTATTGCAACTCTTCCTTCGACTTATTTTCTACTACTGGGGATTGAGTCCACAAATCCCCAGTATGTGCCTGACCAGAAATGAACCAAGTGACCTTTTGGAGCATGGGACAGTGCTTAGCCAACTGGCCATGGTGACCAGGACTATACTTTTTAAAAGTGTAACAAGTTCATCCTGAACTTTTTAAAGAAGTGGTAACCAATAGAAAGTGGTAAGCTTAAATATCCTGGAGAAAAGAGTGAATACTCTAGAACATTAGTAAGCTAAATTCTTCTGGTTACAGAACCAGTGTAGCTTACTAAGATAGGATACAGTAATATTTGTGTAGATTAAAATATACCTAAATCTTGAAGTAGCCTTGTAAAAAGGAGTCCTGGGATGTTTTCAAAATTGGGGAATACAACGTCATGTAATTATTGTATATCAATGGGAAGTCTAATTAGTGCTAAGAGAGTGGATTCAGAAGACAGTGAAGGGTTAGATAACGCAGTGAAAGGGTTGAATTTAAACAGTTTGTTACTGTAGCAGTAGAGGGTAGCAGCCAGTTGGTGAATTGGTGTTGGGAATTTCTTTTGCTTTCTTAGCAAATAACAAGCTTAGCTGTTGAGATTGGGGTAGTATTCTTGAATGCTTGAGACATGAGATTATAAATTTATAGTTTTTCAGCCATGCTGACCAACTTAAGCTGTGGTCATGGTAGGCAAGGAGATGGGTTAGGGTTTTGCCATAAAATTGACAGGAAGAGGAGGGAGAAACTGGAGAAAAGCAGTGAGTCACTATAGTGGTTGACAGTCCATGGAATGTAAATTGAAGTAGGACAGTGAAAAAGTGGTCATGATGGAGATAATGCTTACAACAAAGAATTGTTGGGTGAGATTGTTAGTGTTAGGAAGTAGAATGATTATAGGTGGTTTCGAGTGTGAGATGCTTGGAACAAAGATTCCAGAGGTATTGCAGTCATTGGCAATGATGGTTGAGGTTGTGACCTGGAGACAGGTGGCTTAAAAGGAGGGGCCTATAGTTTGAAGTAAGGAAGTTAAAGAATTGAGGGGGCAGGTTGTTGAAAGGATCGTATGTTGCCAGGAATGTATGATGGTAGTGAAAAAGGAGGTACAGCAGGTATCAAAGTCCTTAAAGTGTATTTAGACAAGAGGATTAATAAGAAAAAGGGGTGGCTGCCATTACTGGTCCACACCAGTCTAAATCTTTTATGACACTCCAACATCACCCTTTTCTGATTTCTGGCAGCAAAATGAGTTGAATTACAGTGAGTGAAGTCGGATGCATATAGTGTTCCAGTTGACGTCTGAGAAACTGTGGGGTCTTGGAAATGCCCTAAACTTTCTCTTTGAAGGGACTAGCACTTCCTTTTTTCCCTGGCTGTGAGCTCTCCTGGCACCCAGGTCTAAGGAAATAAAGTTATTTGCTTCTGGGCAGGGTGTGTTTTAGTTAATGTGGTGCTTAAAATGTGATGTTACAGTTATGCTTACTCGGCTTATTTTGCCCTTATGAATCTATAGTAACGAACTGTTATTTCACTGTTTTACAGAGTGCTTATGATTTCACGTATTTTTGCTGAATTTGTAAAAGAGGCACGTCGATGATGGATTAACACGAACATTGAAATTCTGTGCCCAGTTTCGAATTGGAGCATATTGAATTTTCACCCTAGTTCAGCAGCTCTGCTGCTCACTTAAATGCAGTTGAATGAAGACCCCATTCGGGAAGACACCTGGCCAGCGGTCCAGAGCTGATGCAGGTAGGCAGTGCAGTTCTCTGCATACCTTAAGTGTGATAAACTGAAAATAGTTATAAAATTGTAGAATACTTTCACTTAATTCCTAGTTGTTTTCTCTTCTTAAAGCTTTGTGATTTGCAGTATTTCATACACATCAGTGCGAAAAAACAGGTTTAGTTTTTTGAGAGGCAGAATTATATTAATTTTTGTCCTGTTGTAGATGTCCAGTAAATTTAGCAAGTGAATTATAAATATCCAGTTAATAGGATTACAGTCAGTAAAGGAATTGTTTCATTTTGAAGGAGGAAGTGAAAATGAAATGAATAGATGAACATTAGATTTACTAAGATTAAGGATATTTATAACAATTTAAAGGAAAAAAAAGATAAACTTGCAGGTTTTATATATTTACTTGAAAGAACTTTATTGGAATGAAGTGTATGAAATGAATATTTAAAATAAATTATTATTTTTGTAGCAGGCAGCTAATACAACTAGAATAGAAGTTTAGACTTTGCATGATTTTTACCCACCCTCAAAACAAAGATAAATCTTAACAGGCTACACTATAAACTAAGTAAGTGATGTTTTCTGTGGGACCCAGGTTCTCCTCCAGTACAGAACACACATTTTGAGGTTCTTTGATAAATGAATCTGAGAATTATGCTAATGAAATTATTAATCCTGCAGAAATAGTTATGTGATTTAGAACTATTTCTTATGTTTATTAACTATCGTATTTGGAATTCCTTTATAGAAGAGCCACAGGGATTCAGATTTTTAAGTACCCCTCATCTCTTTTTTATTTTAGTTTCTCTTTTATTGTTTTACATTATAATGGTAATATTGATGTAATTATTCAATATGTATCAATAAGATTAACTTCCAGTAGTGATGACAGACTGAAGTGTAAGTCATCTGAGAGTTTGTTATTCTGTTCCCAGCTCTCATCAACCCTGTCCTGCTCTCATTATTCATATGAACATTGGTGCATTTGTATCTTCTTGAGCCTTGGTTTTTCTCATCTAAACAATGGAACTGTTAGGGTAGGTACTTGTTGGGGATATTATGAAGTATAAACGTGCTTATGCATGTTTGGTGCTTAGCTAGGTTCCTGGCACATTATATCTGCTGTACAACAAGCATTATTATTGGTGATCATACTATTTACAATGAAATATTTTCTATTTCAATTTAATAGTTGTAGAAATTGCTGTCAGGTTTTTGTTGATTAGTGAAATCTCCCACATTTCTGTTAATTAGTTTGGTTTCCCCAAGTTCTTTTTATGCATATCATTCCAAATTCAACATTCTTATTTTCTTCATTGAGTTTGAAATCATCTTTGGAGGAGAGTGAGCTGATTAAGGTGATGTGTGTATGGTATAAGTAACTGGAAGAGCTAAACCAGAGGGTGTTATTATTTTTAAGGGAGAGATTGTGAATCCTGGCAAGTATGTTGATCTTCTATTTTCTATTTTTATTTTTGATGTTTTAGGAGGTCTCCAGTATAGTAACTTTTTATGATTAATATATAGTAAATGAGATATTAGTTACCACTGTACTTCTAAGAAAATTTCTGCATGGCCTTTGCAGCAATCTGGTGATGTACTTATGTTGTTAATAATTTTGAATTTGAGAGAGTTCACAGATAGATTTTTATTGAAAGGAGGAGGGGACTGAGGTTAGTAGCCATTGGTGAAGAATCAATCATTCAATTATAAAAATTGGCTTTTTATAATTGAAAACTTAGGATGCCAGAGCTTTTGCTAATTACTTTGAAGTGTTTTCCAGTTTCACATTTCTTACATGTGTTTTGGAGTGGTGTCTTTTGCAGGTGCTTTAGCGGCCAGTGGAAAATTAAGTAAAGCAACAGTCTTTTTGTCTACACTATAAAAAATGGGTTGATGGATTTTTTTCAATAACAAAAACAAGCTCGTTGCTTTTGGCATTGCTAAATACACCTTCAGAATATACAATTTTAAATAAGTTCATGGGAACCAGAAAGGAAGCCACTTTTCTGGAAGGCAAGTTACATACCTGTTTTCCAGTAAGTGTTTTTTGAGCTTTGCATTAAATAATGATTTAATAGTAGAACAAACAGTAATGTGATCTTACATTTATGACTCTTCCTTATTTCTTAGAGCACGTAGCATTAAACTAAAGACAAGTAGTTTAGTTTAGTCTTGTTGGCCTGTTGTTAGGCCATGAGGTCATACTGTTTTCCTCTTATGTGATAGAACCTATTTTATAAAGATTGCTGACTCCTGATCAGTATTGATTATAAAATTGTCTTAATCATTCTTCTTGTTAACAAAGACTATGAGTCTGTTGCTGTTACATCCCTCTATCCGTAATGAATGTGCCCTTTACAAATAAAATTCATGGAAAGAGAGCTTTGTTTTGTTTTTCTTATATAACAGGAAGCCCAGGTAGGCTTTCCAGAGTTCTATGGTGGTTCAGCTATGCCCTTAGGTGGTGCTGTCTCAAAGGTAAAAGCCGGGAGCTTCAACAGTCCAGCTCTTAAGGCATCTTTTTTTAGGTGTATAGCTGGAGGCTCCCAGAGGAAGTGTCCTAAGAGGAACTGGAACAGCTGCGCGGTCTCCTCTGTCTCAACCAAGGTACATCTCAACCAAGGTGCATGCCCTTGACTGGAATCGAACCTGGGACCTTTCAGTCCACAGGCCAAAGCTGTATCCACTGAGCCAAACCAGTTAGGGCAACATTTTATATATATATATATATATATATATATATATATATATATACACACACACACACACACACACACACACACACACACACACATATATATATATATATATATATATATATATATATATTTTTTTATTGATTTTTACAGAGAGGAAGAGAGAGGGATAGAGAGCTAGAAACGTCGATGAGAGAGAAACATTGACCAGCTGCCTCTTGCACACCCCCTACTGGGGATGTGCCCACAACCAATGTACATGCCCTTGACCGGAATCAAACCTGGGACCTTTCAGTCCGCAGACCGACGCTCTACCACTGAGCCAAACCGGTTTCGGTACAACGTTGTATTTTTTAGAAAGCCTTTCTTGAATTAGCTCTGCCTCAAATTTTGTCTTGGTATCTTGTTGCTTTTGGTCTGTGTTTCATCTGGAGTTCTCTCTTAAATGTCTTTCAGTCTAAGGTGGATCTTCCAGCAAGGCCCAGAGAAGCTGATTGGACTCTGTGTGTGAGAAAGTGGGCCTTGTTTCCTGGTGGACTTCACATGTCACTATTTGTGGGTGTTTTCTCTATAGATGAGATTTCACATTTCCTGCTTGTATGAAAATATCACATATCAGATTTCCTGATTTCACCCTAAAAAGTTTTAAAGTCCTACTCCTTTACCACCTGTTGAAGTCACACTTTCAGTGATGACTGCTGGTCTTTCAAGGCTGGGCTCATTAAATGGCTGTGCAGCAGGGAGAGTGTCACCTTGACAGCTTCCCAGGGAAATTTCACAGGAGGAAAAGGTGCTCACAGGGGAGGAAAAGGTGCTCACAGGGGAGGGTTGGAGGCAGTGAGTGTGGTATGGAGAGGCATTGTTGAGTATTGTTAATCCATTTGAGTGGTTGGAACATACTTGGTATGAATTCAGATGTTCCAAAGATAAAGACCAAAGTTAAGTTAAAAGTTGGTAATTTTGGGACATGTATCTGAATGGGCTTCTGTTAGAAAAGTTTGTGCATAGTTGTGTTTTTTTGTCCATCATGGTTTAGTGCAATTTTTTATTTTTTATTGATTGATTGATTTGTAGAGAGGAAGGGAGAAGGAAAAACATTGATTTGTTGTTCTACTTATTTACAGATTCATTGTTGACTCTTGTATGTGCGCTGACTGGGGTTTGAACCTGCAAGCTTGGTGTATTGGTACAGTACTCTTTATCAACTGAGATATCTGGCCAGGGCAGTTTAGTGTAGTTTCAATAACTATTTTGTGAGTCCTAGAACACTTAATTTGTAAATATGACTTTCTTACCTCTGTCAACAAAATAGTTGAAGGTACCTGGTAAAGGATCTTGTTCTGTTTTCCACTGAAAAATCAGTGATGCTCATAGAGGTGATACAACCCATTTTCCATTACAAACTGACATCAGTGCACACACCTATCTACTTCACTGTTTTCTACTACACTGTATGTCCTGGTGACCACTCCTTAGCAATGTACAGGGATCTTCCTCATGGCTCTTTTCAATTACAGTAGCTCCTCAATGGTCGAAGAGCCATTCCTATGGTGCGACAACACGATTTTCGCCGGAAGTAGGAACCCCACCTACATAAGCACCTACATCACTTACATAGAGCACATACAAGGAGTAATGAAGTGAAACAGTAAAAAAAAAATAAAATGTAAAAGAAAGAGCAACTCCTGACCTTTACTTGTGTTAAATAATAACAAACATAAAGCACATATGTACATACATCGAAATGATGGAACTAATTTTTAAATTTTTTTATAAATAAATTCGAGATGGCGATGTAACCACGAAACATGTACGTGGAGTTCTACGTCACCTGAGGACTGTCTGTATGTAAAGTTCAATTGTAGCATATTAGTTTGTTCAGTAGTCAGTCATTTGGACATTTGGGTTGTTTCTACATTTCAGCTACCAGAAATAATAATTGCAGTGGTCCATTCCATATATGTCTTATCAGTGTGTCATTGGGATAGGTGCCAAACAGTAGGATTGAGTCAAATCTTTAAAAAATATATATTTTATTTTATTAATATCAGTGAGGAAGGGAGAGGGAGAGATAGAAACATTGATGAGAATCATTGATTGGCTGCCTCCTGCACACCCCCTACTGGGGACCGAACCCACAACCTGGGCATTTGCCCTGACCAGGAATCTAATTGTGACTTCCTGGTTCATAGGTTTGATCTCCTGGTTCGTAGGTTGACACTCAACCATATGCTACACCTGCCAGGAAAGACTGAGTTATATTTTAGTGCCTATGTAATGGGATGCCACCACATTCCCCTCCATGGCCTTGTA